TATTTGCCCGAGGTCAAGGCACAGGTTATAAGGATACAAGTCACCTTTGACTTCACCAAAAAAGTCTATCGGTTGCTACGATATAAAGTATTCTCTGGTATTTAATTTGCGCTTTCCTTAGGAAGAAAATTCCATAGTGGGAGCCCGTCGTGATCAACTAAAGTGGGAAGGCGTGACATGTTCTGGAGTATGGAAGTAGCAGGCTTAAAGAAAAGACGACCAGCCTCAAATAAGTTTTAACGAATAATGGCTACTTGCAGAAATTTGAGTTGAGAGCATAGCCGAAGTGTATTTAAATTGGAAAAGTATTTTTCAGATAAAACGAGGCCTACCAACCTAATACTGGCTTAAAAATAATATTTTGTTATTAGCTTAAATGCGTAGATTAATTGAATATTTAATTGACACATAATCTTCTCTCGAGATTTTTCATTTATAGTACGCTTGAAAATATTCCTTATTGGAAATAAAGGTTGACATAGAGTTAGAAGAGCCACAACTCCAAATTCTAAGACAATTTCCTGCCATTATCGGGGGAGGTTAAGATTCATCACGTGGTAGAAATAAAGACTATCTTAATGTATAATTTCATAGATAAAACAGCGGTTTAATGCAATGTTTAAATAGTAAAATGTCCAAGTTATAAAGTTTCATCTCGACAACAAGTTAATGGTCTAAATAAAAGGGAAGAAATAGTCCAAGGGATGGTTTTCTCATTATAGTGAGTTATTAAAAAATCGGGATTTGTCAAATGTCGTAACAAATATTTATCATTTAGTGCAGGAGTGGATACATATTTTACAATCCAATTTGCCAATACTTTTTGCCTTAATATGCAAAAATGGGATGTAAGCAATAAATGCTTTCATTAATTTATTATCATCTTATTCATGTGGTCTCTAAGAATAAGATAAGACTACACACTGGTAGCTGTATCGATTCAATGTTGTTTAGTTAGCATAGGACCGTTATCAAACTTATAAAATGTATTATTATGATACTACATTTCAAAGTCATAATAAAACTCCAGAGTTTAACTTATTGTACCAACGATAGTGAATGCAATAGTACAAGAAAGAATTATCGCCAAAAAACTCAAGGCATATTCCTCAGATAGTATTCTGAACTCTACTGATGTGGCTAGTGGAACGAAAGTAAACGAATCCAATTTCGATGACCCAAATGAAAATTGAAAATAAATGTTGCTTCAATGCTTTTATCAAATAATTTTTATTCCATATAGAAAAGTATTCAATAGAATTCTATTTGACTATGCACAAATGAATAAAAGGGAATAGACAATAGGCAAGAATAAAAAATTTCGCAAGTTTGAGAAAGCCGATACTAGCATAGATATTATGTAATGCAAGTAGGCTGTATTCTGAATTAAAATAAAATGATAATGTAAGGCGACTCGCCTGAATGTAGCTCGACTTTCCAGTTCCAGTAGGTCCGACGAAGAGACAGGGCTTGCTGTGAATGACGAGTACCTTCATAAAATAGCTGTAGCGGACCGTGTCGATGGTTGGGATGATGATTTCGTTGAAAGTTGCATCCTTTGGAATAGGCGGTGCATTGCGCACAGTCTCCATCCATAATTCCCACTTGGCCGGAACCTAAATACCATGATGTAACAGGACTTCAAAAGGATCCAATTTACAAATGTTCCCTAGCGTTGGAAGTAAACCATTTGGCGAAAAATTTGATGGTTCAGATAAAAGACTAGTTAAGTAGCTTGGTTTATGAGAAGTTAAGACTGGATAATTCATTTTTATATGCTCGAGTAATTAAATGCTTCTATAAATGATAGTGAATAAGATAATCTGACTTATTTGGCAAAGTAACCTTTTAATACCAATCTACTTTAGATTTTTACAGGCTTGAATCGACCAACTATACATTAGACGCAAATGTTAGGGCTTTTTGTCACTTTGCTAGATTGAAATTAGGATGAGCTTGTAATATTTTTTTAACCAAATCATGAGTAGTATCGTGTTTAATTGCAAATACTATTCTGCCAAAGTGGAAAAGTCCCACTTTTGTTTGGAATGAGAGCAATCTGGTTTGCCCTCATGCCCATCCCTAACCTGAAACTTCAACCCAATTCAGTAGTATGCATAAGTAACTAGTATTTCGATAAGATCCATGGCTTTCCCCATAAAGACGTAAATTATGCCGCATGGGAAATGACTAAAAATTAAACATTTTCAACTATTAGACGCCAGTATTAAGCTTCAAAGAGCAAACATTTCGTAGTATGATTTTCGTAAACTTTCAACTAGTGGAAAAATGTTGAAAAATCAAAGTCTAATCAAGTTTAAATAGTTTTTTGTGATTTTAACTTAGAAATAACTGCATTTATAAGTGTAAAGCAATTATACTAAATAAAAGTTTCAAATAATGCCAAATCAAATAAAAGCACAGATATAATTAAGGTGAAAGATGCGATTTGAGCACGGATGAAAGTTCAAGGATCGTCCAAGTAACTCTATATCTTTAAAAGTTGTTTGACTTTGTTTTCGCAAATTGGTCATATTGACAGGAAGACCTAGAGAAATGCACCTTGTCCGGAGTACAAAGTATGCATGATTATTTCCATTTGGATCGGGGAATTAGTAAATTCCCAGACGCTTCGCCGACATCGTAGTCGGCATCATCAGGGAGCCTTGCCAATCTTAGCAAGGCACCACAATTCGCCAAAGAGACAAGTGAAGTCAACCCTTTGACAGGTTATCTGCTGAACATTTATCGAATCAAGTATTGTTTTTCGGGACTACCAGTCGTGACTACTAATAGTTGTGGTTCTGGTATATTCATCTATTCTATATCCTCGAATCACTCCTTTGTTATAACAATTTCTTACGTTCTCATCTAAAACTAGTTGATGCGTGCTCTCTTAAGCGGATTTTTTGAGACCAATTCGCGCTTTTGGCTGGTTCCAACATCCCCACACTGCTCAGGGAGTTTTTTGCATAAAATGTGGCAATTATGATAAAAAGTATATTGGTGAAACAGTAAGAAAATTCAATATATGAAGCAAAGAACAGCAAAGATTTTACAGAAACATGGATCCGAAATAGCAGAACTGACTGCACGTACGGGACTTGAAATCGAAAGACGAGTTGACTGCATATGATGAAAGTAAAAGAAAACGCAAGATGTGGCATGTGTATAGATGTGGGAAGTAGCGGGTAGTGTGAATAGGTCTCACAAGTCAGTTTGAAAAGGCGTACCTCAGCTGAGTTTAGATAAACAGGTAATAAATTGTGATATTGAAGGGGTTATAAGAGGATAAAGGGGTAGATGAATATACCAAAATAGGAGAGACACCCCCCATTGTTAGCAGACAATTAGTCAAGGAATCGACTTCATTTGTCTCTTTGACGAATTGTGGTGTAAGGCTAAGACTGATAAGACTCACTGACGTTGCCGACTTCAATGCTGGCGAAACGTCTTGGAGTGTATCAAATACACAGTCCGACCCTGGAAATAATCATGCATACTTTGGGCTCAAAACAAGGTGCTTTTGTCTAGGTCTTCCTGCCAATATGACCAAGTTGTGAAAACAAGGTCAAGCAACTTCTAATCAACGAAAGGTGACCGAGACCATACTAAAGGTCATACCATCTTGGACAGCATACCTTCGTTAATATATTCAGTTTTGTCATATTGTGAGATAATCACATTAATAAAGGAAGAAATATGCATAAAAAACACTGAGGATGTAGAGAAGTTGACATGATGTGACATAAGTTATAAAATTATGTTTATATGATACCACTTCTCTAAAGTGAGATATTCTAGCCAATTATATAAAGATTTTGCTATTTACGCAGTTTCACTTGCTTTGATTTGAGAGTCTCTGCTGCAGAAGGAAGTAGATTACAAGAAAAATGGTAGTCATTTATAAAATTTCCAGATAGTCGTTCGAAATCATGCTGAAAAGAAATCAGTTACCTTACTAATAGATCATCTTAATAAGAGAAAGATCTTGCTTTCGTTAAGGATAAAAACGGTGTTAATAGTCTTTGAATTTCATGGAGGTAGACTAGAAATCTTGATTTATTTATCTTGGAATTGTCTCCCCCCGAAGACCAAATTAACAATTTCACCTCGATCTATCATCATCTATTTCTAGCTAAATTAATGTCAGACCTTGTGTTTTAAGAGACAAACATTCCGTCCTCTAGTCGACAACTTTTACTCGAGTCCAGGTGGTGAGCTGAGGATGTCCAAGTAAGGCGGAAAGAATAGTCTCGCCAGGATTCTAAAGAACTTCGGGTTTAAATAACTGTAAAATGAATAAGAAAATTGCTAACAATTTTAGTTCTTTTAACATTCTTAAAAAACTGTCCTGAGGTATAGCGGTTTTGACTGGTTTGGTGTTGAAAAACGGCTAACCTTCTTAAGAGGTATTGCATAAAATTATCGAGTTTTGCGTTGAAATCTACTTAGTCATGCATCCAAAAGCCAAATCTCTTATAAATTGGATTGCAGTGTTGACTCGCCTTGGCAACACCATTAACTCAAACGGGATTCGAACCGTGTAATGTGTGGTCTAAAAGGAAGATAAGTTATTCTACAGGCCACACTGCCCTAGACCCATTGTATGACATGAAAAGTATAACTTTTCGGAAAAAGTAAGCATATTTAAATTAACAACACTTATTAGGGATTTTTATTGATAGGCAACGCATGTATTGGCTAGCAAGCAGTCAATTAGAGGTTTTCTCTTAAGAAGCTGTAATAATATGATCAGTATCGTGGTATACCAATTTGGATTATTTGCCTGAAACAATTCATACAAATAGGCAACGTATCAAGTTGTAATGACAAACACACGAATGCGCATCGATGAGAGATTCCCCAAAAAATGGTGGGAATTGCGATAGGTTTGCCCTAACTTTTACTTCATGCTTATATGCCGAAAAAAGACTAACATGCCTACGGTTTGACTCAGACTGGACATGCTGAGAGAATGAGGAGGCGGGATCACGCTGTCATGTTTGTATAAAACCAACCAAAACCAGCACTGCATAATAATAGGGGGGAAATTTTGCTTTGATGCTACTTCTTAAATTTCTGAAGTAAAATGTGATTTTGAACAAGACTATCTGATATACTCGTTTAGGCAATCTTATAAGTTCTCAATAGAGGAATTTACTTTGACTATATATCC